CTGGGACTTGACTTCCTGCAAGGGCACCAGTGTAACATCGACCTAAAATCTGGAGTTTTACTATGTGGAACTGAGGAAATTCCGATAAAGGGTGGAACCCTGGGAAAAGTTTGCTGTTTAAGAAGAACTGTTCTTGCACCAAAATCACAGACTCTCGTACCAATCGCATTACCTAGGAGGAAGGAAGGAAGTTTACCTCGAAGGTGCGCTGTGATTGATAAATCGGAACACGTAAGCTCATGGCTACCGGCAAGAACTGTCGTGGGGTCATCTGATGTCAACCGCATTCCGGTATTCAACTTCAGTGATTCAAAAATTACGATTGAAGAAGGAGAGCCTGTGGGCGTATTGGAAGAAGTGGCCTGGATAAGAAAATGCTCGGAGAATCTTGTGAAGAAGGACAGTACGGGAATTGACTTTGTAACGAAAATCTTAGACGAAAACAAAAGTCTGACAAAAGTGGAGACTATGAAAGCTAGAAATTTACTTCTTCGATTCTCTGATGTGTTTTCAAGAAGCGATGGTGATATTGGCCGAACTGGTTTGGTGAAGCATAAAATAAACACAGGTGATACAATGCCAATTCGTCAAAGGCCCAGACGCATACCATTCGCTCGTGAGAAAGAGGTTGAAGAAATGATTGACGATATGAGGAAAAATGACGTGATAGAGCCCTCTTCTAGCCCTTGGTGTTCACCTGTCGTGCTTGTCAAGAAGAAAGATGGTTCAACGAGGTTTTGCGTAGACTATCGACGATTGAATGATGTAACCAAGAAGGATAGCTACCCGTTACCAAGAATCGATGACACACTTGACACACTGAGTGGCATGAAATGGTTTTCAACGCTCGATCTGAAAAGCGGCTATTGGCAGGTGGATTTGGATCCCAAGGACAAGGAAAAGACCGCATTCTCAACTGGGAAGGGACTCTGGCAATTTAAGGTGATGCCATTTGGATTATGCAATGCACCGGCAACCTTTGAGCGTTTGATGGAACAGGTGCTGGCGGGTCTGCTGGGCGAAACCTGCCTAGTTTACCTCGATGACATCATCATTGTTGGACGGGATTTTGACGATCATCTAAGGAAATTGGAAAAGGTACTCGACAAGCTGCGTGGAGCAAATTTAAAGCTGAGTCCAAAGAAATGCTCTTTCTTCAAGCGCGAAGTGAATTATCTAGGACATGTTATTTCTGAGAGAGGAATTGAGACTGATCCAGCCAAGACTGTCGCTGTCAAGGAATGGCCAACACCTAAAGACAAAACGCAAGTTCGGGCATTTCTTGGATTGTGCTCGTATTATCGGCGGTTTGTGAAAGGATTCTCGGACATTGCCAAGCCATTGCATCGATTGACAGAGGAGAAACGTGCCTTTGTTTGGGACGAGGATTGTGAGCAAGCCTTTCGAGAACTAAAAGAACGGCTTTGTAACACACCAATTCTCGGATATCCCAGCGCGAAAGGAATATTCGTAGTTGATACGGATGCCAGCAATATTGGAATAGGAGGTGTCCTTTCACAACGCGATGGTGAGCAGGAAAAGGTTATTGCTTACTTCAGCAAGTCACTATCCAAACCAGAGAGGAATTATTGCGTGACCAGGAGGGAATTGCTGGCCGTAGTCAAAACCCTGCACCATTTCAAGAAGTATTTACTGGGACGGAAATTTTTGATCAGAACTGATCACGCTGCTTTGAAATGGCTGCTTCAGTTTAAGGATCCTGAAGGCCAAGTAGCCAGATGGTTGGAACAACTTCAGGAATTTGACTTTGAAATCGAACATCGCGGAGGAAGAATTCATGGCAACGCAGATGCATTATCGAGACGCCCATGCGTGGAAGATTGCAAGCATTGTGCCAAGAAGGAAACTGCTTTTCTTAAGGTGATAAGGACTGATACTGTTGACGAGGCATGGGGAGATGATGCGATGAAATTAGAACAGGAAAGAGATGCAGATATTAAACCAATACTGGAGTGGCTACGAAGTGGTAACAAGCCAAGTTGGAGTGACGTCGCTCAATATAGCGCGGTAACGAAAGGTTTATGGGCACAGTGGAAAAGCCTTACGCTGCATAATGGACTTCTGTGCAGGAAATGGGAATCAACAAACGGCAAGGACGAGCATTTGCAATTGGTGGTGCCTCGTTCAAAAATAAGGGATGTATTAAAAGCGTTCCATGATGGATCTTCTGGAGGACATTTGGGAATTAGGAGGACTTTGGTGAAGATCAAGGAGAGGTTTTATTGGCTGCATTGCAAATATGACGTCGAAGATTGGTGCCGGAAATGCACTAGTTGTGCAGCTGTCAAGGGTCCACAAACAAGGAGCAGGGGGGCGATGAAAATCTACAATGTTGGTATGCCTTGGGAGAGAATAGCCTTAGACATCGCTGGACCATTTCCAATCACTGATTCGGGCAATCGCTACGTTTTAGTGGTTATGGATTATTTTACAAAATGGCCGGAGGTCTTTGCCATACCGAATCAAGAGGCAGTAACTGTAGCGACGAAGTTGGTAAACGAAGTATTCGCCCGATTTGGAGTACCCTTGGAGATGCACAGTGATCAAGGACGGAACTTTGAATCCCAAGTTTTTCAGGAAACTTGTAAACTTTTGGGAATCCATAAGACTCGAACGACCCCTTATCATCCACAGTCAGATGGAATGGTCGAACGCTTCAACCAAACATTGGAGCGACACTTAGCAAAGGTGGTTGACAGCCATCAGAGAGATTGGGACACTTACATACCTCTCTTCTTGCTTGCCTATCGGACTGCTGTACATGAAAGTACCGCAAAGACGCCTGCATTTGCAAATTTTGGAAGGGAATTGAGATTACCGGCAGATCTTGTATCGGGCTGTCCACCTGGCGACTCTCGCACCGAGTTTAGCGATTACATAAGCGAGTTAAGGGCAAAAATGTTGGACATTTATGAGCAGATCAGGGAGGCCGGTTTTCAAGCTAGTGATCGCGCAAAGACGCGCTATGATCGACGAGCCAATTCTGTTGGGTTTGAAGAGGGGTCATTGGTCTGGCTTCATAATCCAGTCAGAAGGAAGGGAAATCTCCGAAGCTGCAACCGAGTTGGGAAGGTCCTTATGAGATAGTCACGAAGATCAATGACATTACTTACAGAATTCGGAAGACTTCAAGGAGCCCTTTGAAAGTTGTCCATATAGACAGGTTGGCGAGGTATTACGGCAGCAACGATGCTCGGGACGAGCGAATCTAAGAGGGGGGCAGTGTGACGGAAAAGTGGTTCAAACTCTTTGACATCATGACGTCAATGGATGGTTGTCAAACGTTGCCTAGAGATTGTAAATTTCGTCGTGAATTGTCAACACGAGTTGGTGTAATCGGTAAGGCGTGTGGATTACACCACAGAGACCCCGAGTTCGAGTCCCGCCGTAAACATGTAGTTTTTTTAGTTGATAGAAGTTTTGTGGAACTTTCTGGAATTATTTGTGTGAAAGAAATGAAAAATCAAAGAGCGAGAAGGAGAATAAATAAAAATGAGTAACGAAATTATTGGAAGGTTCTGGAGTCATGACGATCAAAAAGAATAACGAAATTGAATGTTCCAGAACCTGAACCGGGGGTATATAAGCGGAACTGCGGCTCACCGCTGGCAGTTGAGTTCTAAGTCTAAAGCGATTCGGAAGAAAAGGAAGAAGTGAAAAAGAAGAAAAGTGAGTGAAATAGTGAAGTGCAGTGAAATAGTGAAGTGCAGTCAGTTAAGTGAGTTAAGTCAGCGTGAACGGCAAAGTTGTGTCAGTCGGCCGGACTCTGCTGGAGAGGAACGCCGATAACTTAACTCCGTGGACGCTGTAACTTAAGGGCAATAGAAAGTCTGAAATCTGGTATTAGTGTTTCATTTCATCCAATCCCGTAACCCAAGCCCGCATAGTCAGGAACGTGACGTCAGGCACGTAACAATACTTTCATCATCATCATTATCATCATCAGTCTATAAGTGCCCACTGCTGAGCAAAGGCCTCCTCTTCTAACATGGAGAAGGTTTGAGCATTAGCCACCACGCTTGCTTAAGGCGGATTGGTTTCAAACTAATAATTAGAAATTATAAGTCCAGGTTTCCTCACAATGTTTACCTTCACCGTTTGTCAGTGGTGTCTAAATAATCTTAGAAGATTATTTATATTGATATAACTCAGTGAAAGTCCCATCGGTACTTGCCAGGTTTTGCACCCTCAATGCATGTGAAGCAGGCGCCATAACCTCCAGGAGACCACGACAAAAATATTATAATCATTTATATTCTTTCTCTATAATCATTTATAATTTTTCATAATTTATGACACCTTTTGTGATGTTGAAGCGGAGGATATGTATCGCCATCCGCCTAATCAAAATATAATTACGAACGAACACACTGACAGTTTGTCAGTCTGTTTGTCAGTGAAGCTCGTGCTCGTTCCAAAGTGTATATTCGAATGGATAGAAATGAGAAATTTACTCCATATCTTTACTCTTTTTAAAAAAAAAAACATATTTTGTTTCATTATATTACACACATTATTGTACCCTAAGCTTTATTATCAATAATTGTATCATTATTAAGCAAATCTACTAAAAAAACAGAGATAAATCAGAACCACCTTAATCTGACTCAATCACTAGATGGCGCTCCTGTAGCATAAGATCTTGTACGTCCAGTCACTCTAGCTATCAAAATTAAAATCTAGTTTTGTTAATTTATGTTATTTTTATACGGCAAATAAGACCGTAAGCTACATCAACGCCATCTGGCGGGCTAAATAACGGTAGCTCGCATTTAGTGCTGGTTGGAAGAAGTACTATCTGGCGGGCCAATACCCGTCGGGGGGATGCGACGAATGCTTCGGCTACCCGACCTCCGACACATGGGTAAATGGAGGAACACCGGATTGGTTTTTAGTCAGTAAGAGTCTGACAATGCCCTTCGCCCATTGCGACGCCCAAAGCCATGAGGACTTTCCAACCCGATAAAAAAAGTACATACCTTCGTTCTATAGCCTTTTCAGTCTGCTTCTGTCTGTCTATCATTTTTTGTAACCTCTTTTTATCCTTCTTCTTTTTTCTTAAACTGTTTTGAAAAAAAAACAATGTTATAGTATAAGAAAGAAACATGAAATACATAATTACAATAGTAAGTTTGTTTTATGTGATAAGTAGGCAAACAAGCATACGGATTTCCTGGTGGTAAGCAATCAACGCCGCCCATGGACACTTGCAACAACAGAGCAGTTACGAGAGCGTTGCGGACCTTTTGGGGATTGGGGATTTAGGGATTGGGGGAGGAGAAGGATTGGGCCTCCGGTAACCTCACTCACACGGCGAAACACAACCTTGTGGTTTTTTCAAGCCGGTTTCCAGTGAGGCTGTGGTATCACTCCGATCGAGCCGACCCATTCGTGCCGATGCATGGCTCTCAAACACACTACAGATAGTACATATTTTTATATGTTGAAAGAATATATAACATGTGGGAGAGCCATGTTTTGGAATGAATGGGCAAGAACGACCGGAGTGACACCACGGCCTCACAGAAAACGTGTGAGTGAGTTTACCGGAGACCCGACCCTATTTCCAATGTACCAATCCCTAAATCTCAAAATTTCCTAATTCCCAAAAGGTCGGCAAAGCACTCCTCCGTTGTTGCGGGTGTCCTTGGGCGGCGCTGATTGCTTACCATCAGGTAATCCGTCTGCTCGTTTGCCGACCTATACCATACATAGAAACTATCACTATATTTAATACAAGAAGGTATTATCGGTGGACATTATCTAATAATATTAGGCAAAGGAAACCGCGGGACACAGCTAGACACATATCAAAATATCTTCGACAAGGATTGGCCGCAGAAAGCTTTGTGTAGAGAGGAGTGGAAGAACGGTAGGGAGGCCTTTGCCCTGCAGTAGGACGATAACGGATGATAAAAAAAAAGTGTTTGTAAGATCATAACTCAAAAACGTCTGCACCAATATTGGTAATTTTTGTATGATATAGGTCAAAAAACGAGCAATCCGATAACCTGATGGTAATCAATCAGCGCCGCCCATGGACACTTGCGACAACAGCGCAGTTACGAGTGCGTTGCCGACGTTTTTGAGGATTAGGGATTTGGGAGATTTAGGAATTGGGGAGGGGAAGGATTGGGATTCTTTTTGTGAGATCATTATTGTACAATTTTAGAAATGTAAAGATAATACGGGATATTGAAAATGGGAATAATTAAATTCGGATACACATACGAAAAAGGGCGGTACGTGAATAACCAAAAATAATAATAGAAAAACAGAATATACACAATCGCCTAATAATATAGGTAGATAGAAACTTTATTCTAAGAGTTATGTTAGTTAATAAATAAAATTATAATACGATACCTTTTATCCATCACATCCGCCGGTATATTCTCAGTAACGCCATTAATGTTTATTAAATTTTTCAATTCCACTTTACTCTTTCTTTTGCTAAAAATATAAGTACATAATATATAAATAATAATAAAAAAACGATAAAAAATAAATAATAAATAGCAGTTTAAATCAAACTCTATTACTAAGGAAAGTCGTCTGAAACTAAATGTTAAGCTGCTAGCAGAAAACTTATCTATACTAATATTATAAAGAGGTAAAATTTGTAAGTTTGTATGTATGGGGTAATCTTTGGAACCGCTGGTCAGATTTCCAAAATTCTTTCACTGATAGATAGCTACAATATTCCTGAGTCCTATAGGCTATAAACCATCACGCTACGATCAAATGGAGCCGAGCAGCGAGTGAAACCGCGAGAGTAGCTAGTCTTAAATAAAATAATATGTTCATACTAGCTTCCACTAGCGGCATTGACCCGTGTGGTATGGATTTTTTTGTCCTACACTATGATTTTCTCCTCTGTCGTAGGTGCGGTTACAAACATACAATTACACATACACATCACACCCAGACCCGGAACAACAATTTGCGGACACAAAGTGTTGTTCCGAATTATATAATCACTAGCGGTCGCCCGCGGCTCCGCCCGCCTGAATGTCGATTTGACACTATTTCAAGCTTTTTTTTAATTTTGTCATCGAACAAACCTGATGTGGACTTCCACGAATAATTCAAGACCAAAATTAGCCAAAACGGTAAAGGCATTGTTGAGTTATAACATTACAACGAAAAGTTGCATTGATTTATATAAATATACTTAGATGAAGTATGAGTTAATCCAGGTTATCACATATCAAAATATAATACACAATTTCAACCAAATTGGTCCCGCCATTTTGCTTAAAAGAATAACAAACATACATACATACATACATTGTCAAAAACTTTTACATTTATAATATGAGTAGGATTTATATTTTGACTTGACTAGTTTGACTGCACGATTGGCAACTGGCTGCCGCGCAACGTGTCGCGGGTTCGATTTCCGCACGTTCTCCAGGTCTGGGTGTGATGTGTATGTGAAATTGTATGTCTGTAAACGCAACCACCACACAGGAGAAGATCTTAAGGTGGGGAAAGGTTATCAACTTTCAGGTTCTTGGCAATTCTCACAGCCGAAGTCTACGTGCATCGGAAAACTTGCTTCTAGAGATTCCATCCCACCATACTTGCTTCATCTCTAATTCTTTCGCGGTTGGTGCAATCAAGCTATGGAATAAGTATACCACCCGAAATTAAAAAGGCTCCAAACAAAATGACTTTTTAACGTAAGGTTTGCGAACTGTATTTAAGATCGTTGCAAAGCTGATATCTAAGGTTTTTCGTCAATATGTTTTATTTGTTTAGGTATACATTTATACATATAATACAGGATAAGTTTTTAACCGCTGCGAAATTTTTTTTTTTTTTTTTTTGGTGGCTCGTTCTTAATAATGGAACACATTTCCATTTTTAGTTTAAAACTATGTATTTTTTTAATTTTTCAATCTTAATAAATAATTTAGAAAAAAAGACTTACCGTTTCTTCTCTGGAGTGAAACTTAAAGGAGACTTGGTGTAGGTTATTTGACTGAAAGGATATAATTTTATAATTAAATTATGTATTTACCTAACATAAGTATATCATACAGCTATTCTCGCGCGGTTTCACCCGCTGCTTGGCTGCATTTAATCGTAGCGTGATGTTTTATAGACTATAACACTCAGGAACATTGTAGCTATCTATCAGTGAAGAATTTTGGCAATCCGACCAGCGGTTCCAAAGATACCCCCTACTTACAAACTTAAAATTTTTACCTCTTTATAATATTAGTACAGTGCGGCCGACGTATCTTGTCGAGTCTGAAGTTAGCCGAGTAGCTGCGCAGTACACAATTTTGTTCTTAAAAGATCCATTGCGCAGACAAACGGCTAACTTCAGACTCGCCAAGATACGTCGGCCGCATTGTATAGATCATAAGTTTGTAAGTACATAGTTTTAAGTATGGGAGAGGCAAGCTTCGGCACTTAAGTGTCTGCTCGACCGGAGTGATACCACGGCCTTACAGAAATGGCCTGAGACAACCACAGAGTTGTTTCATCGTGTGAGTGAGGTTACCGGAGGTCCAATCCCTGCCCCTACCCTATCCCTTACCCTAGCCGAGGCCATGTGCTTCTATGGCCGTCGGAGCGCGCCACCTCCAGGTGGGTCCCAAGTAACGGCAGGAGGAGTTACCATCGGCGTCGAGTCGGCGATGAAGTACCTGGGTCTCGTCCTCGACAGCCGATGGAACTTCACGGAGCATTTTCGTCGTTTGGCCCCTAAGTTGGAACGGTCTGGGGCCGCGCTCAAGCGGCTCCTTCCCAACCTCGGGGGGCCAAACGCCTCCTGCCGGAGGTTGTATATGGGGATTGTGCGATCCATGGCCCTCTACGGTGCCCCTGTGTGGGCGCCGGACTTGAAGCGGCGGCCGGCTCGTACGCTGGTCGCGTCCCAGAGGGTCATGGCTATACGAGTAATCCGCGGGTATCGCACGATCTCCGGGGAGGCGGCGAACCTCCTTGCCGGATCACCGCCGTGGGATCTAGAAGCGAAGGCGCTCGCGCGCGTCTACAGTTTGCGCGCAGACGCGCGTCGCCGGGGCGAAGATCCTCTGCCGCGCCAAATAAGTGCGTGGCGGAATGAGCTCCGGCGAGATCTCATGGCAGAGTGGAGACAACGACTGTCGCAACCGAGGGCCGGGCACGCTACCATAGCAGCGGTAAGACCCCTCTTTGAGGAGTGGCTAGAGAGACGCCACGGCGTCCTCATCTTCCGTCTGACGCAGGTGCTTACCGGGCACGGCAGCTTCGGTAGGTTCCTGTTTCGGATTCAGCGGGAGGAAACGCCCGAGTGTCGTCATTGTGAGGACCACCTAGAGGATACGGTGGAGCATACGGTAGCGGTATGCCCTGCCTGGGCTGAGCACCGCCGTATCCTCAGGGAAGTGATCGGCGGCGGCGACCTCTCGCGCCCGGCCTTAGTCGAGGCCATGGTGCGGAGTGAGAGGAACTGGGACGCCGTCTCCTCCTTTTGTGAAGCAGTCATGCTCGCAAAGAGAGAGGCGGCCCGCGTGAGGGAGCAATCCTCCTCCTCACGCCCCAGCAGCCGCAACTGGCGACACTACGGGCGTCGGGGATCGAGGGACGATCTCCGGCCACCGTAAGTACGGGCCTGCGGTCGGCGAGTAAGGGCAGCTCGCCGCCCGACCAGAACCAGGCCCGAGCGTACGGCGCGTAGCGTTCCGCGCGCGCCTCAAAGAGCCATTCGACCACCACAGACGGGGCCCTAAAGGGCTGATGTTCAGCCGGGGTTGCGGGGTAAGCGCAATGAGGTACCGCGACCTCGGCACAGAGCAGGAGAAGGAACAGGGGGGTTTTTAGTCAGTAAGAATCTGACACTCCCTCCTGCCCGGCCCTGGGCGGGAGAAGTCATTTGATGATTTTCCCCTCACAAAAAAAAAAAAAAAAAAACCCTATCCCTTGCCAATCCTTAAATATCCGCAATCCCCAAAAGGCCGACAACGCACTCGTGACTACTTTGGTGTTGCTCGTTTGCCGACTTATCCCATAAAAAGGGGGTTTATCTCTGGAACCGCTGGTCGGATTTCCAAAATTCTTTCACTGATAGATAGCTACAATGTTCCTGAGTGCTATAGGCTATAAAACATCACGCTACGATCAAAAGGAGGTAGTGTAATGATATACTTACTGATACTTCAGCGTAGTTTCATTCTTTCTATCAATTTTTTTCCGACGGGCGACGACGTTATGTGTCAACAACATAGTCTTTAGTTGTCCAAAGAGCTGACGAGTTTCGTCCGTCCATTGAACACGTTTGTCCTCTTTCACCCATTTTATACATCTCGTGTAGAACCTGCAATCGAAAATTTTAAATTTACATATGTCTATTCTAATATTATAAAGAGGTAAAATTTGTATGGAAGGGTAATCTTTGGAACCGCTTGTCAGATTGCCAAAAGAAGAGGTCTTTGCTCAGCAGATGGCACTTATAGGCTGATAATGAAGATATCAGCTAGATGGGGATTAGAATATTTATAATATTAAAAATGCGAAAGTTCCAATTTTTAATGTTGAAGATGTTTGTTACTCAATCACGCCAAAACTGCTGGACGGCTCTCGGCACAGGCATAGGATACACTCCGGAATAGGACATAGGCTACTTTTTATCTCGTCGTGGTGGCCCGGAGGTTAAAGTGCTCGCTTCTCATACATGAGAGTTCGAAACCTGGCAAGTAATGTGACTTTTTCCGAGTTATATGTACTTTCTATGATTATTTAGACACCACTGACATATAGTAAAGGAAAACATCGTGAGGAAACCTGGAAATCGCCAACCCGCATTGAGCAAGCGTGGTGATTAATGCTCTAACCTTCTCCGTATGAGAAGAGGCTTTTGCTCAGCAGTGGGCACTTATAGGCTGATGATGATGATGAGGTACTTTTTATCAACATACCACGCGGACGGAAGCTATTATATAGTAATAAAAAAAATCTAACCAGAATTCAACGCAGTCGTTTGGAGAGAAAACAGTAGTTGTTTCATCACTGGCTATGAATTCTAGAACATTCGTTAAAGCTTGCTTAGCAAACGCAGGCATCACTCGTATTGCAGATTGCTTTTGAATTGGTTTTGTCGCATTTTCTTTTTGCGGATTAATTGGCTTTTTTGGAGGCTGTGGGTTCCTGTAAACGAAAGAGAAATGATTATAGTACATTATGGGATAATATAGTTGGTAGTATAATATAGTTGGTGAATACCACTGAGGCACATTGAGACCCAAACTGTCAGGTGAGGGTCTTAAGGAGCCGAGGACTGTAATAATCAATACACACGTGAATCAAACGACGTTTTTCAACACACTTCCTCATAAAGTGGCTCTAAGTTCGGCGATAATGACGAATAGTAATAATAATAATATTTTTAGTTGCACGGCTACTGGCTGTGTCGCTAGTTCGATTCCCGCACGAAACATCTACTTGTGTGATCAAAAAAACGTTGTTCCGGGTCTGGGTGTGATGTGAAATTGTATGCTTGTAAAAGGAGGGGGAAAATAGTAGTGTGGGGCGTAACGTTTAAAAAATCGAAGTATAACACTATTTACTTACATATTTGTACTTGTACTTATATTAATATCACTCCGTTGCGATATCACAGTAGTATCAGACGGTCTCAGTTTTTCTATCTTTTCCATCAATAAGTGCCTGAAAAGTGAAGGAATTTCATGAATAAAATGAATTCAAATAATTATGAATTAAGCGTACAAACAAGGATATTTACATGGTTTTATTTATATCAAGCATTCGGCGCCGCTTATGGACGTATAATTTAGACCATAGAGGCTTAGGGATGCGGATTTTATTTTCAGGGTTTTTAAAAAAAAATAATGAATGGAGTAATACCACGGCCTCACAGAAAACCGGCGTGAAACAACCACAGCAACAGCAGAACTTTGCAAACCCCCATTCATTTTTCAATACCTATTCAACAATACGACTGCACGGTTGGTGCGGTGACTGGGCAACTGGCTGCCGTGCAACGTGTCGCGGGTTCGATTCCCGCACGGAACAACTCTTTGTGTGATCCACAAATTATTGTTCCGGGTCTGGGTGTGATGTGCATGTGAAATTGTATGTTTGTAACCGCAACCAAGACACTGGAGAAAATCCCAGTGTGGGGAAATGTTTTTTTTTTTAATAATTATTTTTAAAACTTACTTTTTCACATTTCCAGATTCGATAGTCTGCATTTTCAAATCGTAACGATTTTTCAATACTTTTAGTGCATCACACAGATGTCTATATAAAACACTAACTTCTTGCTGAGTATCCTTCAATTCCTCACTTTGTAATAAACTTTGTACATAACATATTTGCTCTACACTCAGTTCTGGGAATATTTTCGTCCTTATCGCTTCATTTTGTATGAAGTCCAGTGTTTTTCGAAGACTCTGTGTTTTGAAATCAACCGACACTTGGTCTGAGGACGTTGACCTTAGACTTTCTGTGGAACTCGTTGCTGATAACTCTGTACTCGAACTGAAAATGTATAATGGTAAAATATTAAGAAATGTAAGTGTAGGGTTTTGTAGATTCCAGCCTGTCAAGTTCAAAATGTCGAGGTGGCCCAGAGGCTAAGGAGATTTTCTTTCTTTCTTTCTTTCTTCTTTCAAATGGCTATTTATGTAGCGATGTATTTTGATGGCCGTCCATTATACACGTAAGGTAGTTTTTCTGATTTTTTGACCATCCCTCTGATGTATGGTGAAGTTTGGGACCACTCCTATATCCCCCTGGATCACGTGTATTTTTTGGAAGTCTATGTAAGGGCTATTTTTGAAGGGAAAAAATGGCGTTTAGATTCGAAAAAACATTTCTATGTAGGTAGGTAGGTTTTTGCATTAAAATTATTTAATGTTGTCTTCGTCCCACGGAGTGGCAACACTTTCATTTAAGGTTTTTTTTAATGGGACTTACCCGCCGCAACCCCACAAAACCGCTGCAACTCCTGTAAGCCAGTATCTACAGTCGATACAACCATGAAAACACCGGAACACTGAAGTCCGACGCGTCCCACAGACATGAATGGGGACTGTCTTGGATCCCGCAAAGAAATAAATCAGAAGATATTATTTGAGGAGAAGAAAAAACCGAAATAGTTTCCACTTCCCTGGGTAAATTTAATGCAGGAGACAGAGACATTTAAGGCACTTTTTGACAAAAAATAAATAAAATTAATATACGTGACGTCACGAGACTCCCCTCTCCCCTCGTATTGTTTCGGGATGTTTTTCATACACTCCCCTCCCTTTTCAACCTCACGTGATTGATGGACGGCCCCTAATCTGTTATTTCTATACTATCATTACATATTTAGTATAAAACAAAGTCGCTTTCTTTGTCCCTATATCCCTATGTACGCTTAAATCTTGAAAACTACGCAACCGATTTTGATGCGTTTTTTTAATAGATAGAGTGATTGAATTGGATGTTTTGTTTGTATAATAACTTCCATAAAATAGTGGAGAAATTTATTATAAGCATTAGCTTTTGTCCGCGACTCCGTTCGCGTGGAATAGTGACTTCCTGCAGATTTTTGATATAAACTATACTATGTCCTTTCTCTCTTTCCAGTTCCAAACTATGTCTGTACCAAATGTCACAGAAATCGGTTCAGTAGTTTAGGCGTGAAGAAAAGACAGATAGAGTTACTTTCGCATTTATAATATTAGTTTAGATTTGGATTGCAACCGAGAGAAGCTGGGACAGGTCGCTAGTAAAAAATTAATCGTTTAAATGTTTTTTCTAAGCACAATCTCGAGAACGGCTGAACCAATTTTCGTAATCAATTGGATCAGCAACATTTCTTCTTCGTGTAGTTTCTCCTACATAAACAAAAAGTGGGAGTACATTTACATTTGTAGAGGAGTCCTTTCAGTGACATTGTATACAAAAATTAATAGCAAATGGTTGAGTAAGCTCATAACAATCACTGGACCAATTTTGCCAATGCTCAGCGTTCACGACCGTCTACGACAAAATATTATTATAGTTGCGATCTACAGAACGGCTGGTTTCGTCGAATTCAAACGCAATGTCAGCTCCCGGCGAACAGTTTGTTTATTACGTTCTGCAAATATATGTTATTCAACACCGATAATTGATTAACCGTAATGATTAGTGTTCTTCTATTGAAAACATTACACTTGCGAGCGCCGGCTTTCGCACGGGGTTTGACGAAAAAAATTCTACGGCACAATAACGACTCCATATCTAATACCTCCATAAATAAATTCTATAACTATTTATACACGTAATGTCATAACCAAAATTAACATGTAATCTATACTAATATACCTAATAAAGAGGTAAAGTTTGTTTGTTTGTATGTAGGGTGTATCTACCTAATCTTTAGAACCGTTGGTTGGATTGCCAAAATTCTTCCAATTAAGTATAGATAGTTACAATATTCCTGAGTGCTATAGTCTATAAAACATGACGCTAGGATTAAATGAAGCAGCGAGTGAAACCGCGCGAGAGTAGCTAGTACTAGGTAATTAAAATACATTTCTCCTCAAATTACGGTGACACAGAACACTGTCGAATATTCTAAGCAATGGGTAGGTACCTATTCAGAAAATATCCGGCAGTGTTGACTGGTTCTTTGATTCTTTTTTCTATTTTAATCTTTTTTATAAAAACCTTTTTTAAACATATAAAAACTCACTTTGATGTTGATAACGCGGGTGGCACAGGAACACCGAAATATTGCTTCTCAATCGTTAGAATTATGCTGAAAATAAAAAAAAATATCGTTTTAGAAGATTTTAATAAATTGCACTTTAGCAACTTTACTACCGTGTGTTACTCGTGTGGTTTTAGGCGCGTGCTTGTGCTTTGAGAAAATACTAAAGTTGCATAATTTTAACTAAAATACTAAAGAATAATTCATTCTACTGCATACAAGAAGTTTTATTTTATTTTATTTTTTTATTTTATGTGATAAGTCGGCAAACGAGCTTACGGATTACCTGATTGCAACGGAGGAGTTACGAGTGCATTGCCGACCTTTTTGGGAATAAGGGATTTGGAGATTTAGGGATTGAGGAGGGATTGGGGGAGGGGAAGGATTGGGCCTCCGGTAACCTCACTCACACGGCGAAACGCAACGCTGTGGTTACTTCACGCCGGTTTTCTGTGAGGCCGTAGTATCACTCCGGACGAGCCAACCCATTCGTGCCGAAGCATGGCTCTCCCACACTTAAAGTAATGTACTAATGTTGCTTTTTCCAAATAATGTACTTACCTACACTTATAAGAGACACACGAAATCAAAGTCAAAGGATTTTTTTGCTCTTGAATACATATGTATACATAAAAGGTGTTACAAAATATCAATAAGTTCAGTATTCAGTCATAAGCTAATGACATGCAAATGTTTGATAACAAGTTTTTAATCTTATATCATTACTTTGGAAACTTATATTGCAAAAAATCTTTTATAGAGTATAAAGGATTCTCAATAAGCCATCTACGTAATGCCCACTTGAATCAAGATCAATTGGCAACTCTCGAAGTTGGACAGGAAGTTAAGACACCGTGAAGGAAAACATCGTGAACAGGTGAAAAACCTAAATTATTTAAACTTTTATATTAAATATAATAAAAGGTTTGAAATTGCAATCCGCCTTGAGCAAGCATAGTGATTAATACTCAAACCTTCTCCGTGTAAGAAGAGAAGGGCCTTTGCTCAGTAGTGGGCACTAATTGTCTCATCAATCTACCTCATAAAAAAAACCCCTGCAAATTGATGATGATATTTTTATATGGTAAGATACATTGTTTCATGCCAGTTTTCTGTGAGGCCGTGGTATAACTCTTCGTCGAGGCGACCTAAGGCCGAAACTTGGCTCTCTTACACTAATGGGATTTAATTTTTCTATTATGGCGGTAAACAAGAGCCTTTCTCTTGGTAGTAAGGTTCCTGTGCACCAGAGGATGTGCAAGAGTGTACTCAGGTTTACATTTATGGGGGAGGTGGGGTTAGGGAATTGGGTATGGGGGAAGGAGAGGTAATCTATACTAATATTATAAAGAGGTAAAATTTGTAAGTTTGTATGTAGGGAGTAATCTTTGGAACTGCTAGTTGGATTGCCAAAATTCTTTCACTGATAAATAGCTACAATGTTCCTGAGTGCTATAGGCTATAAAACATTACGCTACAATAAAATGGAGCCGAGCAGCGGGTGAAACCGAGCGAGAGTAGCTAGTTAATAATAATAACAACATAACATCACGGGCTTCACACCAATTAATAACAATTAATAACAAAAATAACGGTTTATATATGCTCTTGAGGAAAAATTATCAAATTATTTCTCTCGCCTATGGTGCTGATGGGGCTTGTTGACGTGCAGTAAGTGCAATGATGAGGAACAACATGGGGTAGAGTGGCCATAGCAAGGCCAGAATGGAGAAGGTTGGAGGAGATCTTTGCCACATGGCAAATGAATAATCAAAAATTGGATAAGAGAAATATCTATGAATTTTAATTTACTATTAAATCAATATTGTGTTGTCGAAATATAGAATAATAATAAAATAAATTAAAAATCGCGGGTTACTCACATGTTTGTGTAATTGAGAAAAGCACTACTATGTAGTTTCGAACCACAGAGAGGTTCTTCCTCATGAGCAGCGGACGCGGCGACGTCGCGCAGCCTACATTTAACCCGCGATTTTTAGTTAATTTAGTATGTCTCACGATAGTTATAATAAAAACAATAATAAAATAATAATAATATATAAGCGCAATGATAGATACCACAGAGTTATTCAACCAATCATGGTAAGTTGACACAGAATAGAAGAAAAATAGGTGTACAAACACAAGCATTCACTTGCAGTTACATATATTAAAATATTTATTAATACATGAATTTTAAGCATACTTTACTAAAAAGCTAAAATACATAGTTTCTAGTTTATTTTATTTCAACTTCCAAATGAAATTAAATTCTACATTATTGTAACCCAAGTTTATCTCGGACATTTTGTTTGTTTGAATGTGTAAACCTCCAGAACTACTTGTTTTAATTCGATAATTCTTTATGTTTAGGATAGTTCATTTATTGAGGCAGGCTATTAGCTATAAAAAGTCATGCTTAAATCTATAGGAAGCAAGCAGAAGGCGAAATTGTGCGGAAGAAGTTAAGTAACAAAAAAATTTCAATCAAATCTGTGCATTAGTTCAGAAGAATTAAAACACTCATATATATAATATGTTATATATACACACTATATACATATTTTTAATATTTCTCTTATTTGTCTAGCCCAGAGTGCAAAGTAGGAAAAGGAAAAAGGTGGTTTTTAGTCAGTAAGAGTCTGACACTTTACCAACCCCCATTTGATGATTAAAAATAAACCCTGTTTGTTTTATAAAAAAATAGGTTTAAAAGAAATCAAACACAATTTTCAGGGAATAAGAACCAATAAGTATGGCTCAGCAATTTATATTAAAACCTTTTTACCATAAATACATGAATAAATAGATACATTTGGCATAACAATTTTTAAATAAAAAAAAACCTGTACTTACTTTTTAATTTGTTCTATGTACATATATGAGTGTATCAATTTGAATTCTGACTTCCTTGCAATCATTGCCTGAGTAATCTTGTCACAAATATTCCTGTATTTACCATCATCTAAGGACTTGGATTCCAACAGCTCCATATTATCAATAACCATTTTAAAAAAATCCTCAAAAGTTTTCAAATTATAAAAGAATGGGAGACATAGTGATTTCATATCATCACTTTCTATAAAGTTGTGCAACTTCATGAAATTCAAATAAAGAATGTTGTAGTCTAACTTTTTCACTAGATCATCGAAACTTTCGCCTAATTTTCTTCTTTTGTTTTGTGGTGATTGAAATGGCGCGACGTTGTCGTCTTTCGATGCGTTTTCTTCATTTTTTGGCGGTAAATCTTCTTTACTCTGTTCAGACATCTTCGAAACTTCACTATTTATATTTTCTTTCTGATATTCAGCAGTTGACACACCGTTTTTAATTACAGACCCGCTCTCATCACTATCTTTACTATTACCGCAGCTTAAGGCTGTCTCTAAGTTTGATCTGGCAAGGGCCATGGCACATAAGAAATATCTAGGTATTTGATTTTAGGTGTTTAAAAACGACATCAAAAAAATATTCATTATCAATACTACTTTAATCATTGTTTATAACTTTATTGTATTTATTTTAATACCTTCAAAAATACTTGTAATAAGTTCCAACTGGTAACGGTTAATCATGAATCAAAAGTTATTCAAGATTTAATAATAATAATAATCTCCTCTCACCCTCAATTTTATTCTTTATCTTCCCTCTATGAACGATTTATCAACAATATTTTAAATAATAAATGATTAACTACCTTGTACCTTGACTGACAACTTCACGAGAAAGGTGTTTATGATTATGTAAATCAATATCTTTTTAATTTGTTCGACACAAATCTCGCAACAACATGTTAGTTCCAACTTCCAATAGGTACATAATTATAAGAATTTTGCCGAGTTCGGGATTCGGGAAATAAACGTGAAGTGCGCAACTGTCAAAGTGTCAATCAACAAACAGCCAATTCTGTCATTCTGTTGTTATAATAACGCAGGGTCGTCCAAATAAAGGCGCGCTGCTTATTTTCATGCGGCCCGCGATACACGATTTCATCTCAAAATTGTTGTGGAAACAAATAGTTTGGATAATATAATTTTTTTTTTCAAAACATTTACATAAAATCTGGAATATTTTATTAATCCTTACTTTTGCAACATTGCATTCGCATGATTACGTAAAAGTGAAGCTACTTTCACTATTATTGGGGAATTCCCGGAAAATATTTATATTGAGGATTTGTTGTTGTATTAGTGAAGTTTGTGTTTCCAACTAGTTCTTATCGGCACTTCTTAATCATCTTCTTAATCGGAGACTATCGGAGAGTAGATTAATCTAAACTGTAACTTAACTAAATGCATTATGTCATGAAGAAAATTAAGTGATGAATCGATATTGAATGGGAGATGGGAACTAGACAACTTTATTTGCAAAAACAATATTAAAAAGCAGTGTAAGATTTGTATGCAAGTTTTGTCTTTGAGTAAAGAATACAATGTTAAACGACATTATACCTACTACTTTACACGAAGCGGTGGTGTACATCACAATCGATAGGAGAAAAAAACAAAATAGCTATTTTAATAGAGTTGGTAGAAATTTCATTTTTCACAGACAACACTCATTAGCGGACTAATATTTTGTTTGAGATTTTGACATGTCAACCAACGATATCATTGGCGATGTCGAATAACACTAACAAAAATTCGGATAATTCCGTTAATAATAACACAGCTGAGTCGTTCGACGTTAACTGGGATGTTGAGAAATACAGGGATGAACACGAATGCGAAGATCATTGGCAATTACGCAAAGCTTTCATGGAAAAATGGAAGAACAATTTCCCCGAGGAAAGACTAGTTTGTTTGGCTCGAGTATACACTAATATTGAATTTATGGGCTGTAGATATCCACCGCCAGTCATGCAACAGATCGCCCAACTCTCTTTTGAGGTAATTTATTACTTATGTAATACAAATTACAGACGTATTTGATTTGTTAACAAAAACAACCTCAAAGATTTGTTTACTTTATTAATTCAGCAATGAAACTAATTTTGGTATCTGTATACATAATTTATGGATATAATTCTTAAATGTTACTACCGTAAATTGTGTACACAATATAGTTTTCCCGTTTTTCAACCTCTTTTATAAAAACTGCTCACACACCTCTTACCAAAATAGTATAAAAAAGGACAAAAATACATACAGACTTTTTATACATAATTATGGTCTGTTGTATTTCAAATCCAAATTCATTTATTTGCTAATATGGATATTTACTTTAAGTTTTTAACAAAATAAATAGTTACAAAACATAGAAATTTGGTGGCACCGATTAATTTCCAACTTCCAATCCAATAATAAAACACTAATATTCCAGGCTGGGCGACAATACAGAGAGAAAAGGAAATCAAAATTGCAACGCACATTTGTCTCTGCATCAACAGCAGCAGAGGACAGAGCTCGAGGAGTGAAACGTGTTGGAGGAGAAATAGTTGAAGATAAACCAAAATCTGCACGAATAGCATTCGTACCACAAGGAAAACTTGTAGATGATAATGAAAAAGAAAAGGATTCTGATAGAGATGACGAAAATGAGGGTTCGGATAACGAAATGGAAATTAATAAGAAATCTTTTGAGTCAACCACTACACCAAGTGAAAAAAAACAGTTGGAAACTGAAGATTACCTTACGGAAATGTCTAAGATAAAATGTTTAGATGTCAGATTGTTTAGGGAAAACATGTTTCAGACTTCATTTGGACGTATGGTGCTGCTAATAAGACCTTGGGCTAGAAAAATGTGGAATATACAGAGTGAGTTAACTTCTATAATTGCAATAATAACTTTCCTAAGGCTGTGGTGGAGGTTAAGATTTCTGCTTCTCATTCATGAGGGTCTTCAGCTTATGTGTGCCCAATGCTGAACAAGGCCTCTTCCCACACAGAGAAGGTTAGAGCATTAATCACCATGATTGCTCAAGGTGGATTGGTAATTTCAAATTTAAAATTCGAAATTATATGTCCAGGTTTCCTCACGATGTTTTTCATTAGTGTATGTCGGTGTCAAAATAATCATAACTCGGAATAGTCACATTGGTACTTGCCGGGTTTTGTACCCTCATCAGTGTGAAGCACCACGACGTTCACCACGGCATTAGGATGCGTGTTCGAATGTTCGATGGTGATGAGCATGATTGACTACACAGTTGAAGCGGTGGTTGGGCAACTGCCTGCCGTGCAACATGTCGTGGCCTCGATTCCTGCACAGAACAACTCTGCATCTATCATCTCATGTTATCTACAAATCATTGTTGATTCTGGTCTGTTTATAATGTGTATATAAAAATGGGTAGGTTGTGGTGGAAATCACAATAGATAATAATATGCTAATAAGAAAATAGTAGGAGTCATATTTTGGCGCGAATTCGAAAACGCCCAGCTTGACTTGTGAGTACTACTAGGGCCTAGGGATGTTATGGATATGAAATTTCGGATATGAAATTATTTCGGACTAGCGGCCCGCCCCCGCTTCGCACGGGTTAAACTATCTCGCTATCAAAGGGTCACTTTCCTAATCTTCCCCTCTACTTTTCTAATATTTTCGTTAATAAGAACCTTCTCCTGACAATAACAAACACAACAAAAAAAGAATTAGCAAAATTGGTCCAGGCATTGTTGAGTTATGCGCTTACCAACACATTTTGCGATCCATTTTTATATATAAGAAGATTAAACGTTAGTTTCGGTTGCGAATATAAAAAATTTAAGGTATTTCAAAAGTAAAATACAAACATAACGTGTCTCAATTAGGCTCCGCTCCTATCCGATACTATCCGAAACTTTTATTTCGGATTCGGTTACGGTAACGGAGCTCCCTAACATCCCTGTTAGGGCCTCAACGAAAACCGGCGTGAAACAATCACTGTGGTGTGAATAAGATTAAGTTAGGTAGTTTGGACTTCCATTAAACCTACCTACTCACATCCATATCTTAAATAATATTATAAAGCTGTATAGTTTGATTGTTTGTTTGGACGCGCTAATCTTCGGAACTAATGGTTCGATTTGAATGATTCTTTTTGTGTTTGTTAGTCCATTTATCGAGGAAGGCTATTAAAGGCTATAAAACATCACGCTGAGCAGCGGATGAAACAGCGCGAGAGTAGCTAGTTAAAGAATAAAATCAGACGTTGTTAAGTTAGTTTTGTAAAGAAAAGAAAGAAAAACAATTTATTTACGCTAAAGCAACAAAACAAACTAGTAAAACTAACGACGTCTTCTAATTAGTCTATCATTAATTATCAGCTTCTCATGCATGGGGGTTTTGAAAACTGGCAAGTACCAATGTGACTTTTTCCAAGTTATAAATACTTTCTATGACTGACTTATATACAATTTCTAATTATAAGTTTTAAATCGCGATCCCGCATTGAGCAAGCGCGGTGATTAATGCTCTAACCTTCTCCGTGTGAGAAGATGCCTTTGCTCATCAGTGGGTACTTATAGGCTGATGATGATGATGATGAATTAAACTTGATACCATTTTTCAGCTAGTTGTCAAGTATGTGGATTAAATATAACAAATGGTTATGAAAATAAGAGCTACACATTGTGTATCAATCAGAAGCTGTTGGCGCAGGCGTCCGGCGAAACCAAGATTGAGGCGAAGAATGCAGCTGAAATTATAGCTTGGGAGGTAAGTCACAGATTGACAATATTGCTTTTTTCCTTTCTTACTTTGTTTTATGTGATTGGTCGGCAATTGAGTTGACGGATTACCTGATGGTAAGCAATCAGCGTCGCCCATGGACATCTGCAACAACGGAGGAGTTACGAGTATGGGATTGCGATTTGGAGATTTTGGGATTGGGGAACGGAAGGATTGGGCCTCCGGTAACCTCACTCACACGGAGAAACACAACGCTGTGGTTGTTTCACGCCGGTTTTCTGTGAAGTCGTGGTATCGGTCGAGACGACCCTTTTGTGCCGATACATGGCTCTCCCACACTTAGTTTTTTTTTTAAATTTTGTTTTATATATAAGTACTTATTATGCATAGCTTAAGGCGCTCGCTTCTCATACCCACTGCTGAGCAAAGGACTTTTGTGACACATAGAAGGTTTGAGCATTATTCACCAGTGTTTTTTTAATAATATTCTCCTTGGGATTTTCTCTGTCATTACAGTATGGTGTGAAATTTCAAAAATGAACTTTATTTCGCAGAGACTAAAGCGTGAAGTGGTGTGCTTGTTGATAAAAGAGCAGTTTCTAGCTCAAGGCGACGCTCGAATCAGTATGAGCGATGTCTCCGGTAAGAAGAGAGAAGATGTCTTCGGTACACCCGTTGATAACTCCGTTGCTATGAAGTTAGTATATGTTTTCTTTATAATATTAATATATTAGCTTTTCCCCGCGACTTTATTCTCGTGGAATAGTGACTTCCTGCAGATTTTTGGTTGTACCCACATAGTTCGCGATCTCTCGGATTTTTGGTAATTTCCTGCTCCCGCAGGATTTTTGTGATGATGAAAACTATCCTATGACCTTTCTCGAATTCCAAACTACTATGTCTGTACTAAATTACACAGAAATCGTAGTTTAGTAGTTTAGACGTGAAGAAAAGACAGACAGACAGAGTTACTTTATAGTATTAGTTCGGATTTATAATATTATTTCTGCGTTTATAATATTAGTTTGAAAAGTTTGGATATGTTTGTGGGAAACGGAACGTAGCAGTGAGCGAAAGAGTTTTCTTTTATGCATAGGAGAAAAAGGGATAAAAAGACGGAAAATACGCAAATAGCGGATAGAGTAAAGATGGTGGGCGTAGCAATATGACAGAGATTGACAGGAAGTGTTTTCTTTTTTCAAAAATGAAAGATTTCTTCGCTTGGCTTTTACTTTGTCCAGGGGTAAGAATTAGTCAGCCGGGGTTGCGAGTTAAGCGCAAAGAGTCACCAAGGCCTCGGCCCAGAGCAGGAGAAGGAAAGAGGGTTTTTATTCAGTAAGAGATTGACACTCTCTCGCCTTATCCTGGACGAGAGGGGTCATTCGATGATTCTCTCCTAACAAAAAAAAGGGGTAAGAATTAGTTTAGATTCCAACTGGTCAAATTCAATTCAAATTTCAAAAACGGCAACTTTACTATGCGTTTTGTACGGAATGGCACTTTTTGGAGTGGTAAAATTACATATGTTTTGGAAGGAGAGAGTGTCAGACTCTTTTTTTTTATATAATAACGTTGCCCTACACTAGGTTGTTCTCCTGTGTCGTGGGTGCGGTTACAAACATACAATTTCACATACTCTTTCTGACGAAAAACCACCCCGTTTCTTCTCCTGCTCCAAGCCCTGGTCGCGGTACATTACTGCACTGGCCCCGGCTGAACATCTCTCAGCTCTATTGTGGTCTGTTCTGTTAGGACTCTTTGCTCCTTGTTCACGCTGTGACTTCATATTTATTTTACGTATCCTACTTAATTCTATTAAAAAATACTTTATTTGAATTAGTAGTTTTTATGGTTGATTTTTTATATATATTTATTTGAGTTGTAATAATTTCTCCCTTCTGAAACTATTCAAGTACCTACTCAGGTCTTAAGTGCCGGCCTCTGGGTAACTTTCCATTACATGGGTGCTTCAAGCTTCGTTTCACGCCGGTTTCCTGTAAGGCCGTGGTAACACTGGTCGAACCGACCAATTCGTATCAAAACTGACGGTCTAACAGAGTTGTGAAACAACCACTGCATTGTGTGCGAATTGAGCTTCCACTCGACTGACGAAGCGCTGAGTATTTTTATGTGGATGGCAAACGGGCTGATGTATTATCTGATGGTAAGCAATCAACACCACACATACTTACTCGTAACAACGGAGGAGTTCAGTTTTGGAGATTTAGGCATTGGGGGCGGTAACCTCACTCACACGGAGAAACACAACGCTGTGGTTGTGTATGTAATTCCATTGTAATAATTTATTTCAGAATGATGAAAATGATGGGTTGGCAAGGTGGAGGGTTGGGTGTCGACGCGCAAGGCATAGCGGAACCTATAAAACCTAACTTGCAGATGGTAAGATACTTTTCATCTAATTAACAATGAATTTATTTTGTAAATAGGTCATAAACAAACAGCACATTTATTCATCATTATTAGAAGTAACTACAAGAACGAATTCGATGATTTTTTTATTTTCATCATCATCATCAGCCTATAAGTGTCCACTGGTGAGCCAAGACCTCGTCTCACACGGAGAAGGTTTGACCATCAATCACTACGCTTGCTCAAGGGAAGTTGGCCAATTTAAACGTAGGTACAATAATTATAAGTCGCCAACCCGCCTTGAATAAGCGTGATGATTAATGCTCAAACTTTTGACGGCTGATCACCTTCAGACGAAAATCACCAAGTCACTTTTCCCGCAACGAGGCGAGAGGTAGTGCCAGACTCTAACTGACTGAAAAAACCCCGTTCCTTCTCCTGCTCTGGGCCGAGGTCGCGGTGCCTCATTGCGCTTACCCCGCAACATTAGCCTTATAGGGCCCCGTCTGTGGTGGTCTATTGGCTCTTTGAGGCCCGCGCGTAATGCTACACGCCGTACGTTCCAATGATGCGATGTGATTCTTTTTCTACAGGTAAATAGAGCTGGTTTAGGCAGTGCTCAAGGCGTGAAAGACCTTCGAAGGGCTGCCCAAGCGTTAATGCAACGCTACATAGCATCAGACACGATAGATTTGGACCTCGTCTTCACAAATGACTTCGCGAAACCGGAGCGAGCGACACTACATCAGGTAGCTCAAAGAATGGGCCTGGCTTCCAGGAGTTATGGAGAAGGTGAAGAGAGGTATCCTTCATAGTTTTTATTCTGTTTAAAAGGTTTTGGACAGGAATCATTCATTGACTGATTTGCTGATTTGACTGTTTTTATGTGATAGGTCGGCAAACGAGCAAACGTATTACCTGATGGTAAGCAATCAGCGTCGCCCATGGACACCCGCAACGACGGCGGAGTTACGGGTGCGTTGTCAACCTTTTGGGGATTACGGATTTGGAGATTTTGGGAAAGGGAACGGATTGGGGTAGGGGAAGGATTGGGCCTCCGGTAACCTCACTCATACGGCGAAACACAACTCTTTGGTTATTACACGCCGGTTTTCTGTGAGGTTTGACTGCACGGTTGGCGCGGTGGGTGGGCAACTGCCTGCCGTGCAACGTATCGCTGGTTCCATTTCCGCATATAACAACTCTTTGTATGATCTACAAATCGTTGTTGCGAGTCTGAGTGTGATGTGTATGTGAAATTGTATGTTTGTAAACGCACTCACGACACAAGAGAAGATCCTAGTAAGAAAATTAGCAAAAACTAGTAAGAAAATTAACTAACAATTAATTTCTTTTTCAGATTTTTAGTAGTAAAGAAGAAATTGAATCCATTCTCTTTGGTTCGTGCCGTTATCGAGAAAGGAGGTGTGACGCCGAAATATCAAGTGTTCTTACCAGAAAGTCTTATGCAGACTGGCATACGTTGATCTGTGATCATCATCATCATCAGCTGGAAGATGTTCTCGGCTAGGCAAACGTCCTCGTTCAGCCACACCGGACTTGTTTTAATAATATTTTAATATAAAAAAATTGGCATAATTTCAAACCCATAAATGAACTTTTTTCCTTACCTACTCGTAGTTTCCAACTGGTCAAATTAAGTACTTTTTTATGAATTATGTAAGACATCGCAACATTTGACGTCATTATACATTTTAGTCAAGTAGCATGCTTTAGGAAAAATCTAAAATTAAGTAGGTAGTTATACATATATATAGCTTTAGATTTTTTCTACTGACATATTTTTGTTCTGGCTGTAATAATTCATTGTATTGAAAAATCAATATAATTTCGTTTTATCATATTGCATTCATTTTGTTTTAGAATTTTATTTTCTTATAGATAATGCGTACCTAAGCATCTACATTATGAATTTTTTTTTGGAAAAAAAATTCATAATGTAGATTTAAAAATTAGTTTACAAAATTAAGAGAAGGTAGTAGGTTCGCGTCTTCCGGCTGGTGGCAGCCATTCAAGAATCAGTGATCATATCATTAATTAGAAATTAATTATTTTAGCCATAATTATTATGTTGTAAGGAAAATAATAAAGATTAAATCTAAGTGATCATGAAGTTTGATATTTATAATCCAATAGTTCCCCCAAAACAAATTCAATACTTATTTTTCAAAAGTCAGAGTTACTATTTGTTGTATGAAATGGTAACTTGTGACTCTATACCCTTTTTACGTCATATAGCTTACCTACTTATTTGTCTTAAATTAGCAAAAAAATATGAAAACTTGGAATAGTATTAAATCAATAAATAAAAGTATTTTTGACTGACTGAACTACCGTACCAAATTAGAAGTTGTTTTTTTAGAATAACTTCGATTGGAAGTCCGAGTGATTCTGCTCACTAATTGGTGCTAAGTGCTAATCTAACAAAAGGACCGCTTGTTCAATCACTGTAGCTGTCGAAAATTAAGCGTCCAATTGTATGACAGTGTTTAATTCCCCCTTGCAAGACAACCAATGGTACCACCTTGTGAACAAGTTTTTTTTAAATGGGACAAGCCCGCCGGTACTTCCCTAAACCGCCACATATTTTGTAAGCCAGGATCTACAGTAAATACAACCATGAAAACATCGGAACACTGTCCGGCGCGTCTCAGGGACATCTTGGATCCTGCAACGAAATAAATCAGAAGACATAATGTCTTCAGAAGGTTGGAAAGCTCAGAAGGTTTTTCTTCTCCTCAAATAATTGAGGAGAAGAAAAACCTTCTGAGCAACTACTCAATTGAGTCTTTCAATATAATACTACATAGGTACAATTGGCATTACTGTTCGTAATTTATTATCATTACGGACTTAGCAGACCGAGCTTTGAGGTTGGACTGAAGATGAATATGTTAAAGACCAAACTAATGACAAATGGTCCAAAACACAGGTTGGAAGTAGATGGAGCAGATACGCTTGGAAGGGCTATTGGTCCATGGGATACCTAATGAAAGGCAATCTTCCCTTGGCGCTGAAAAGGAAGCTCATGGACGTGTGCATTTTGCCCATCCTATCATCATCATCACCTACGGCGCTCAGACCTGGTCTTTGAAGGCAGTCAAAACATCAGAAGTCCACACTCAAGGTTTGACAGGCAGATGTATTGCCTGATGGTAAGTACCTAATCGGGGCTGCCCACGGACACCCACAACTACGGAGGAATTACGAGTACATTGTCGGCCTTTTTGGAATCAAGGTTTCAGAGATTTCCGGGGAAATTGGGGGAAGGGAAGGATTTATCTCACTTGCACGGCGAAATATAACGCTGTGGTTATTTCAAATTGATTTTATCTGGGGTCAAACACCGATGGTGCAATTCTGGTACTCCAGTCGAGCTGAATCACCGTCTGGATTGTCCTTCACTCAATGAAATAAATGAGCTATTATATGATTTTGTTACATATTAAAAAGGTTACGGTATTCCTAAACCGATACGTCACTTTAAACCTTCAAGAAACGAGCTGTGACTCCTCTAGTGTTGCGGTCGTCCATGGGCGGCACCGATCACTTACCATGAAGTGATCAGACTGCTCGTATGCATCATAAGATTTTAGGGTTCGGATTAAAAAAAATCTGGGTTGAGTACCTCTGTGGTATAAAAAACAATTGCATAATAGGTAAAAAATCGTTAATCATCAAAATAGTTTTGATGACAAGCAGAGTATTTTATTATTATTTTATTTCATCCGAAATTTTATTTCCCGAAGGCAACCAAGACTGAAGTCTAAGTATAGAGATTTCGATAGGTAAAAGTAGACCTTTATTGCGGTGTGACGATTAGTAATGTTTGCCCGCCCTCCGACTTACTAACGATCAGGCTCAAATTCACTATTTGTAAGTTGTAACTCTGCAGATCAAAAACACTGCCTTAATAATTAAGCCTTATATGCCTATGATTTTAATCATTTGTGTGCTTGTTTAGAACCAACCTATTGTTAACACTTCTCTGCATCACCCGTGAGGTTGACTGGTAGAGAATGCCTTCGGGCATTAAGTCCGCCTTTGTATGTATTTATTTTATATGTACATAAAGTGTTAAATAAATAAATAATGTGTTTACCTGGGCGGTGATTAGAAAGTCAGTTGCTTAATTCGCCAGGTCAGCTGAATGTAGTTCAGCGGAAACTCGCTTATTAGCGCCCAGTCGTACCCAAGTTTCTACAAGAGAGGTCCCAATACCGAGGCCTTGGAACTCCAAAACCAACCAACCAATGTTGCCCGCCGTCACATCCCCGATATCAAGTTTGATACCTACCATGTCCACCATCACAACGCGTGGCAGATAAAGATCTTACCCGCATAATCAATTTGAAGATGGCATCAATTCTATTTGTTATTCTGCTAACGTAAATTAACATTTATCTGATCCCTAAAATACGGGATCAATCGAAATGTTTTCAGTATATAAAATGAGAAAAATGTTACCCGACATCACACAGTTTTCAGTTTTACCGCGAAACAAACTGTCAGAGCTACCGCCATTTTATTTACTTTTTTTAAAATGAATTCAAAGTTAGCATCCGTTCTATTGGCGTACTGCCTTTTCCACTATTTGACCGGGGCTGAGGGTTCATTTATAAAACCTAATAATGTACCAAGGGTTGGAAGAAGTAATGAAGAAATTAATCCGTTCGACCAAGGATCTATGGGTTATGTTATCAAAACAAATAAGAATATACCACGCATGGGCAGAAGGAATTTTGACTCGGTAAGTTAACTTTTAACATCTCTGTTTAAAGCAACATTAAATGAAGTCAAGGTTTTAGAGTTAATCCCAGGGTGGACGGATAACTTATTTGTAATTTCTCAAAACAAGCCATATGGAATAAAGAATTGTCATTTCTAATATGCTTGTAGCACATCTTTTTAGTTCCTACTTCATTATATTGTATATTTCTTATTTAATTTCTATAACAAACATGAAAAATATATGTTAGTGTAGTATTAATAATTATTGTTTTAATTATTTCCAGGAAAATCGCTATGACATCCCCAAATTCTATCAGCTTCCTTCAGAAAAATATGATGTTTATGAAGGTAAACGATTAAATAATATTAAAACTCCTACCAAATCTATTTAACACAGTTAAATTAACGATTCATTAAATACTAAATTTTTTTTAGGGGAACAGCAAGAATACAGTCAAATCCCGATAGAAGCCTTCTATCCTAAACAAATGGAAAACCTAAGACGATAATTTAGGTTCAAATTAAACGAGGAATTAGTCTAGAAGTCAAGTATTGTGCTGTTGATTTTAATTATGGTTAAGCTGAATTAATAAAAGTATATTCTAGCATGCATGCAAACTCCTTGTTTTAATTTTTCTCACCAAATATCATACCTACGTAGTCCGGAACGTTTATTTTCTGTCAAAGTCAAGTGATATTATCCGACCATATAAAATATCTTTGTCTAGTTACTGTATCTCTTTCGTGCAAATATAAATAAGCATCTTCTATCTCTTTTTAAAACCAACTAATGTGCTATTTAGATAATCCGATTTATTCTCCAATTTCTCCCACGAATTATTGTGGAAGGAATTTAACTATTTATTTTGAAATTTAACATCCAAATTAATTGTGTGTATTAAAATAAAACAAAATGGTGTTGACTGCGGACGTTAATCTTCCGGAAGAATCGGAATTGACGGTTCCCGAGCTGCAATTATCATCGCCAGCTCTGTTCGCTGGTTCTTTTCATTTAGGAAAATATTGTGAACAAGCCAATAATGTGAGTAAAATAGTTATTTTATTTATATACTCTTTGGTTTTATCTTATTCCTGTGTTGATACTGCATTTCTTGTTATTGGGAGTTAAATTGATTGCATAATCAAAGTATATTGAGGTTATGTTATGGTAGATTTTAAGGTCGATATACTTACTTGTATCGACACTAAAAACTAATTTAATAATTAAATTAATCTCACGTCCATCAAAAATATAACATGGTCCATATTCCCCTCTAGTTCATGAACATAGTAGTTTAGAAATTATAATTATTTTGTTGAAATTTCTGGTAGTAGATTTCATTTGAACTTTTATCTCGAACATTATTTCCTTTTAAAAGTTATTAGTGAATAGCGTATACTCCAACTCCTAATAATTCGTCCTAAGACGACCTACTGATTGAATATTGAGTTGATTAAAGATATATATAAAACACAATAATAACGGCACTAGCAAGTTGATCTCGCAGAAAAATACTTTACGTTTTCTTATTGAAGTACATGTTTTTTCTTGGTAAGTTTATAACTTTATCCTACATACATATAATTACTTTATCAATGCACTATTTTTAATTCTTATATTCAACATAATAGCAAAGTTTTTATATGAAATCAAATTGCTAGGATACTTTCTTTATTTAGCCTCGGGGCACCAGGTTACTGGATTCTTGGGACTTTTGTCCCAAGGTAATAATTATATTCCTATTTTATTAATGAAACTGTTTTGTCCAATATGGTGTTAAGGTAAGAAATTAGAGAATGACTTGCAACAGAAATGGCTAGCTATCAATGGAGTCATGTATGATCTCCAATCTTATAGCCAGATACAGTGATTACAGCAAGCCTTCTCTGAAGATTATATATACTCATCATTGAATGGCTGATGATAATCATTAATAGTTATTTTCCAATAAAATTCCAGGAGTTCATGCTCTGTCGCTTGGAGGAGAATGATCCACGTAAATGTCTCAAAGAAGGCAAGGCGGTCACTGCTTGCACCATGGACTTCTTCCGCAAAGTGAAGAAGTCTTGCCTGCAGGAGTTCAACCAGTACACCAACTGTATTGACAAGAGCTCCGGAGACTTCTCCTTGAAACAGTAAGTTTCACCTTTGGCAATATGAGACAATAGGTGTGCAAATTCTGGTTTTTGCTTGGGGTTTGATTAAGTAACAATTAAATCAATTTGTTTTTTTAGTATCTACTGTTAGATTTGTGAAATTAATTGAAAAATACATGTGGCTGCACGGTTGGCGGAGTGGCTGGGTAACCGGCTGCAGTGCAACATGTCGCGAGTTCGATTCCCGCACGGAACAACTCTTTGTGTGATCCACAAATTGTTGTTCCTGGTCTAGGTGTGATGTGTATGTGGAATTGTGTGTAAAGGTATATGCGCCTACGACATTAGAGAAAATATGTGTGGGGCTGAGTTCAATAAAAATAAGTGAATTATTTGAGAGAAACTCTAGTACTTCCTATACTAATTTTAACTTTAACAATTTAATATTTTATCTGTGACATCATCCATAACAGGGTTGGTCAATTTTATAAGTAAGAAGTACACAAATAATTATATAATTTACATACAATAATTTTATTATGTGTTACTTCAGGGTATCACTTATGTACATACCAAATTTCAACCAAATCGGTCCAGCAGTTTTTGCGTGAAAGAATAACGATCTGACATCCATAGTACCATACATTTTCACAAACTTTTACATTTATAATATATGTAGGATTGTAGGTAGGATTGCAGCACAAACGCAAAAAGGCACCGCAACCTCGGCCCAGAGCAGGAGAAGGAACAGGGGGGTTTTTAGTCAGTAAGAGTCTGACACTCCCTCCCGCCTCACCCTGGGCGAGAGAATTCGTTTGATGATATTCCCCTCAAAAAAAAAAAAAAAAAATACATAGAATTTTATTATTTAGTAATTAATAGACATGCGTTTGGCCACTATCAGGCCTGGTGGTAAGTGATGACGCTATCTATGATAGAGCACGCCCACCCATAGCAACCTTGAGAGACGATCTACGGCCACCGTAAGCGCGGATCTGCGGTCGGCGAGTAAGGGTACCTCGCCGCTCGACCAGAACCAGACCCGAGCTTACGGCGCGTAGCGTTACGCGCGCACCTCAAACAGCCAATAAACTACCACAAACGCACTTCGGCCCAGAGTGATAGAAGAAACGGGGGAGTCTTACACCCGGTTTCTGAAAGGCTTGTCAACGCTAAAATTAACTAATCTCCTGTTAAATCTCTTGTCAAGTCATCTGTTCGGTTGTTAAAAAATTAGTCAACCAATCAGATGACTTGACAAGAGATTAAATTGATTTTAACATTGATCGGCTTTTCGGAAACCGGGTGTTAGTCAGTAAGAGTCTGACACTCCCTCCCGGCCCTCCCTGGGCGGGGGAAGTAATTTTATGATTTTCCCCTCACCAAAAAAGTCACATAAGCCACCTTCACTCCATTCATTCGGTATAACTTTTGTTTTTACTTTTCCAGATGCCGCACGACCCAAAGTGTTTTTGACAAGTGTGTGCTAGACAAGATGAACATTGAACGCCCAGCATTCGGATACTTCTGTGAGGCCCGGGTGCATGAGACTAAGAGGTATGCTATCCTACTTTATATTACACACTGTGGTCTATCGGTTTTGCTAATTAACTAAATGTAAACAATCTTGGCATGTCGGGGTGCACGAATGTGTCGGCTCGACCGGAGTAATACCACGGCCTCACAGAAAACCGGCGTGAAACAACCACACCGATGTGTTTCGCCGTGTGAGTGAGGTTACCGCAGGCCCAATTCCTCCCGTACCCCCATTCGATTCCAATCTTTAAATATCCGAAACCCTTATCCCTAAAATGCTGGCAACGCCCTCGATTGTTTCACGGCGGTTTTCTGTGATGCCATTCGTGCCGAAGCATGGCTCTCTCACACTTAAACAAACGTAGTCAAACAGTAGTCTTAGACTGACACACGGCTAGGTTTAGTCCTCTCCAGCCATCTGCCATATTCTTAGAGTTTTTTGTATTCCCAGTCCATTTGTTCACAGTGATTATGACATGGGAGCGATCATAAATTACGAAAGATGATTAAGAGAGGGAGGAACTAGGGGGTCGTGTCAAATCTCATGTTGGGGAGATGGGGGTTTCGTTCGCCCCAATGATATCTAAGTATACTAATATTATAAAGAGGTAAAATTTGTAAGTTTATATGTAGGGGGTAATCTTTGGAACCGCTTGTCGCATTTCGAAAATTCTTTCACTGTTAGATAGCAACAATGTTCCTTAGTGCTATAAGCTATAAAACATCGCGCTACGATTAAATTCGAGCAGCGGGTGAAACCGTGCGAGAGTAGCTAGTTATAGATGTAGATAGGGTTACATAAACAACATTCGAATTTCAAAAACGGCACATTAATTCAGACGAATAAATTTTATGATACACGTTAAAGTGGGATGGCCTGATTCAATAATCGTGAGTGAAAAAGAGACAAATATGAAAAAGTGTGGCTAGTTAGCCACATTTTATTGTATCACTTGCTGAGCGCTTATGACCTATCTACACCTTTTCAATTGGGTAGTTTCCTAGGTCAAAAATAAATTATTTCGACGTCTCAATACAATAAAATATAACTACACTACTTTTATTCATCAATCGATCGATACACTAATTTTTAGATTTTTTTAGCTTATTGTTAAGAAATAAGTAAGCTATTTGACGCAAAAAAGTTATGACGTCATCATAGCTCAGTTTTTCATACAAATTTCATAGAGTGTATCGTTTTTGACGTTTGGATAATTATCCCCTTATCGTTAACCCAATGTATTTTTTACGTCAGACGACTATGGGTCTTATGCTTAAGGTTTCTTTTCTTAATTCCAGGCCAAAGCCATTGGAGGAACCGAAGGCGGTCTACCCAGACGCGACTCCCGCGCTACCAGAGTCTGCCGAAAAGAAACCAGCGAGATTCGGTTCTCGTTTCTACTGGATGACCGAATAAACGACATCGGTCGTGCATTGAAACCTACAGATTGAGGTTATGTGTGTCAAAAAAATAATGGAACAAATTGGCGGGAATTATTTTCACCGTGTAAATAGCAAAATAAACTTTCTCTCAAGGAAGATAAAGTATGGATTTGAATAAGTATTGAAAAACTGGTTTGTTTTTTTAATACGATTTGCGTTCCATTCCATGAAATTTTTTGCACACTACCTCAGTCTTTAAGTGAGGCATTGGATGAGTTTTGTAATTCAGTTTTTTTTAATGTAATTGTTTTATTTATAAGCTAACAGTGTCAGATCGAAATCATGTTATAAAATACAAAAACTTGTCTAGTGTTTTACTTTGTTCAAACAAATAGCTATTATTGATTTGTAGAGTAATAAATGTTGGAATTTATTTCTTGTTTAACTAAACGTCCTTTTATTATTTTATTAAAGTAACATTTAAACTAAAATAGTTAATAAACTTATTCGTATAAAAAATCTCATCCAACTAGTACCGAAAATCTTTTATTCTCAACTGAACACCTAAATCTTTATGAGAATTTAAATGTGGTGTCGGCATGCTCCGACCAGTGATACCTTGGCATCGCTGTGATTAAGGTTATCGGTAGCCCTATCCCTGACCTCTTCTCCGCCCCAAAAGCAGGCAGTGAATTCAGGTGATTCAGCCGGGTTTGCGGGTGCAAGCCAGAGCAAATGTTTACCGTGGCCCTGGGCCGTCAGAGGAGAAGCAAAGGGGTGGTTTTTAGTCAGTAACAGTCGACACTCCCTCTTGTCCTGGGGCCTGGGGCGGGAAAAGTCAAATATTGATTTTCTCCCCGTCAAAGTAAAAAAAGTAGGTGGCGATGATTGCTTTCAACAAGTATTCCGTCTGCATATTTGCCGCCTTTTGCCATAAAAAGTATTTAAATGTATGAAGGCACCGGGGGGTTGGTACAAACATCAACATCCTGATCATCGTCTTCACAGTCCATCGTAGGGCGTAGGATTTTATAATCAGACCGAATAAATTACAAAAATAACGGACGTCGGCGATCCGTCTCAGATGACAGACACAGCGCTCGCTCTTCAACATAATGCGCACGCAGAACTGCCAGTTTGACGTTCCGCCAGAGTACGATTTATGGTACCCTCGTCCGATGAATTGTGATAAAACCTCCTTCAAAATTCAATTTAAATAATCGTCGCTCCGACACGGCCAGACTGACATTCGCTCGTCCTCGAGCGATTTTAGTTCTGTGGTAATTCTGGAACAGAAGGAAGATTTCACGTGTATAGCACGCTGCTCGTTCATCCTGACTAACATGCGCTTTCTCAACATATCGTCTGGTTACTGTACTCAACGTCGATGTAACATTATCATCATTATCAGTTGTACCTACTTCCAAAACAACTTATCCCAAATCACACAGATACGGCCTCAGCGATTGGTGTGCATGGACCGGATGTATGCGCCTCTACCACCAGCCAACATGCTCCGGCAAGACCACATCATCCCTCCGACCAGCTCACCAGATCACCTGCCTGGGTCAGACTAGTGCGTCCCTCCGACTAGACACCACGTGACATAGACCGGACGTCACTATCCTTCCCAACAATCAGCTACGATAACTCACAACCGTATTCACAGACACTCACGTTACCCAGATGAAACTAGGTACAACCATCAAATCACAAATCTCTAATTTGGGAACTATCTCGCGCGTTATCAATACAGTCGTTGGTTCAATCATATGAACACGCAGACAATGCGCAAGATGACCAGTTATCACAAGGAAAAGGAACTTTCTCACCGGATGATGTCTCCAACACGACTTTGGAAGTTCTATGACTGCAAGTGTTGACTTCTTTAAATGTTGCATCGCTGATCTTCTCTCAGCATAGAAAAGTGGCATGAAAAACAGATGACTGCGTGCCCCTTTTTCATCCGCGTCAGTTACAAGTCGTTCTTTCGGAATATCAGATGGTTTCCCATCAAATCCCACTTCTGATGAAGGCACCGGGGGGTTGGTACAAACATCAACATCCTGATCATCGTCTTCACAGTCCATCGTAGGGCGTAGGATTTTATAATCAGACCGAATAAATTACAAAAATAACGGACGTCGGCGATCCGTCTCAGATGACAGACACAGCGCTCGCTCTTCAACATAATGCGCACGCAGAACTGCCAGTTTGACGTTCCGCCAGAGTGCGATTTATGGTACCCTCGTCCGATGAATTGTGATAAAACCTCCTTCAAAATTCAATTTAAATAATCGTCGCTCCGACATGTATATTAAATATAAAAATAACAATAGCATCTTTTAATAAACTAGATTATGGTAAACGTCTACAACAGCTCAAGCTGGCCCATTTGTGCCGAAGCATAAGTCCCACACTTTATAGATTTAGACAAAAGATACTGCATAATTCGGAACGCACTCACTATATGTCAAAATGATGTCACAGGTTGACAGTTGCAGATGAATGCAGTAGCCGCGTTTCAGCTAACGCACGGCAAAATGTTTTTGTGAATATTTGCGTTCTGTCCTTTTCTATCGTATGAATTGTTATTATTGCTTTCTCCGTCTAACATGTTATTTCAAATCTTTCTTTTACGAAATGAATGAACTTATTACCAACCTTGAATCTTGAAACGCATGATTGTCATTCAATCGAGTTTTGAGGGGACATGATTGATTAAATCAATAAATAATATTATAAATAAACAGTGAAACTGCATTACTACGTAAAAATATAAATACCATTCATATCAGAAGGCTTTCTTTGTTGTAAACCGGCAATAAACAGTAAAAATTGACGAAGTATTGTGAAAAACGCGCGAGTTACTTTCAATAATTACAGTAGCGTAAACAAATGTAAAATTATTTGTTTTATTGATAAATAATGAGTGATTTGTGCAATGAGCAAGACATAGGAGATAATATTTATACGAATACGTATAGTTTATGGGGAAATTCAAAGTATTATGACATAAAAAACTTGTCGCCGCAAAATTTCGCGAATCGTAATGGCACGATTGGAAGTGAAATTGGACAAGAGTTCCGGGCGACGCGATGGGTACCGAGCAAGCCAGAAGTTGAAGTGAAGAAAGTCCCACCGGATCCTTTTAAACGACGCACTATCACGAAGGAGTCGTTATATCAAGATCCTGATAAAAATAACAAAATAAAGTAAGTTGTTTTTTTTTTGTTGTTTCCTTTGTTTTTTGCTCCATGTGATGATGGTGGGATATATTTCCCGTGGGTGTCGTCAGACCTGACTAAGGGACTCCACATTTAACACAGAACTGGTTGCAGCAACTTTTTACACCTAAACTTTTAAACTCAAATCTCTGACCCGTCTGGCAAGTGTGGGGATTATGGCAAACCCTCTTATGGAAAAGAGATCCAGAGTCCAAGTATGGTGGTCCACCGACTGCTGATAAGATGTTTTTAGATTGTGAATCATTGTTATTGGATATTGATATCCGATAATTAATTTTTATTTGTGAGAATCATAGTTTGGGAATAGTTTTGAGAAGTGTGTACAATGATTGGAGACCAGATAATGTGATAAACATAGTTAAAAGAATACCCACTTGACTGTCTCTTACAAAAGCATGGAAACCTAGAGATGAATGACTAAATAATATTGTATTCAAAACATAAAATGTGGCATATAATAGGCAGCCTAGGATACAAAACAAATATTGTTTATTTCCTGCTTGGCTTCACATATGTTACTATTTAAATACTCATATTCAGCTCCCTAATGTCCTTGACATTAGGGAGCTCTGTAACTCTAACCTATTGGATATCCAATATAAAGTAAAATGGAAAGTCCTGTATAATAATCAATTCCTATACCCGCATCCAAGCCCAATCTGAAATTTCATATCCATAACATCTCATGATAATATTTATTACTAATAAGTACATAAAAAACATATTGAGTATTATAATTTTTTCACTTTATTAATCATTAATTCATCTTCTTACGAAAATATCAATATTTTAAGTTGATTTAATCATGTACAGCAATAAACAAGCTGACTTATTACCTGATGGTAAGCAATGTCGCCCATTGACAACCACCACACCAGAAGAAACTTTTCAAGTGTGGGAGAGCCATGCTTCGGCACGAATGGGTCGGCTCGACGGGAGTGATACCACGGCCTCACAGAAAACCGGCAACAACCACAGCGTTGTGTTTCGCCGTGTGAGTGAGGTTACCGGAGGCCCAATCCTTCCCCACTCCCAATCCCTCCTCAATCCCTAAATCTCCAAATCCCTAATCCCTAAAAGGTCGGCAACGCACTCGTAACTCCTCCGTTGCGGGTGTCCATGGGCGGCGTTGATTACTTACCATCAGGTAATTTGTCTGCTCGTTTGCCGATCTATCACATAAAAAAAGAAAGACTAGTGCATAGTCACTCTTTTGGTAGTTGTTAGCAGTATTTGAAGAAAGTTGTGCTAAGGCATGGCCCTCTGACAATTGAACCATCATCTCCATAAATAAATAAAGTAGTGTGGGTGAGCCATGTTTCGGCACGACTGGCTCGAACACAGTGATACAATGGCTTCACAGAAAACCGGCGGGCATCAATCACAGAATTCTGTTTTCTCGCGTGATTGAGGTTACCGGAGGCCCATTGCTTCCACCCCCCATACCGTCCCAATTCTTTAATATCCGAAACCCTAATCCCTAAAAAGTTGGCAACACACTCGTAACTCATTTGGTGTTGCCGATATATTTAATTAAAAAAAACTACCATCTACAGAGATGATTTGAAGACTGCCAAAAAGTCAAGTTCGAATTTTGACTGGACTCTGGGTTACTGGGATAAAGCCGCAGAACAACCGGAACAGGATGGTGGGCAGGGCTCCAGTCGGGGTAAGAAGCAAGTGCTGGGTGGAGCCAAGATACAGAAGAAGTTGGACAAAATGCTCGCGAAACCTGTGAAGATGACCAAGGCAGAGAGGTGAGGGGTATATATGTATTTGCGTTTTAAACAATGTATGGCTATTATAGTGTACATCAACCTTCGTCAAGGTCGTGGTAGCCCGGAGGTTTAGACCCCCGATTCTCGTGCATGACGCTGCGAGTCCGAAACCTGGCAATTACGAATGTGACTTTACCGATTTATATAGACACTAGCTTTTGCCCGCGACTCCGTCCTTGTGGAATAGTGACTTCCTGAAGATTTTTGGTATAAAAACTGTCGTATGTCCTTTCTCGAGTTTTAAACTATTATATCTGTACTTACCTAATTTCACAGAAATCGGTTCAGTAGTTTAGGCGTGAAGAAAAGACAGACAGTTTAGTTTTCCACGCGAACAAAGTCGCGGACAAAAGCTAGTACGTTATATAAAGCTTGTTAAGAAATAAAAACCAAAATCTTGCATTCCTGTAGAACTTGTCCACGGATGCGAAGGAACACCACATCCTGTGGCCAGAAGTTCTCGTCCAACACAGTTGTAGACTTAAGTGTGTAGTTGTTTCCTGCCATTTTTTCACTTTGTTTCTTGGCTTAAAATCTCATCCTTGTGAAAAGCAGGTGTGACGTAATTTATTTCTTCTTATTCCAGCATGATGCAGAAGATGGGTTGGCAGGGAGGAGCTCTCGGAAGGAGTGGGGATGGCATCGTGGAGCCCATTGCCCCAAACGCTGTATATGTAAGCCTAACTAACAATAGTCTCGTTTTTGAATACTTTTCTGAAACTAATGAGTTCCTCTAGTGAATTAACTGGGAAAAGCTCGACTAGTTTCAAGTCATGACGGGACTTTTATTCATGCTTTTCTCAAAATTACGTAATATTGGAATATAATTTTTACAATATACCTACTTTTTGACCATCGCAATAATGCAGCGCAAAAGAGGGAACAGAGTGGTTTTTAGCCAATAAGAACCTGAGACTCCCCTTTTCCCCGCCCAGGGCAAGAGAAGCCATGTAATGATGATACCCCTAAACTAAGAGAGACGATATCCGGCTCCGTAAGCGAGTCTGCGGACGGCGAGTAAGGGTAACTCGCCGTCCGACGAGAATCAGCCCCGAGCGTACGGGGCTTAGCGTTCCGCGCGCGCCTCAAAGAGCCAATAGACCACCACAGACGGGGCCCTATAGAGCTGATGTTCAGCCGGAGTTGCGGGGTAAGCGCAATGAGGCTCCGCGGCCTTGGCCCAGAGCAGGACAAGGAGGGGGGGGGGGGGGGTTTAGTCAGTAAGACTCTAACACTCACTCCCGCCCTACCCTGGGCGGGAGAAGTCATTTGATAATTTTCCCCTTACAAAAAACCCCTAAATTAAAATATATTTTTTATTTTTTTCAGTCATCAACCAAAGTCGGTTTCGGTCAACTCCAACTTTTAAAGCAACCAAAGTCGAAGCAAATTGAAAAGAAACAGTTTTACGAAACGAACGTCCTCCACAGCGTTTACGAGTTCGTCAAAAACAATAACGAAATAGAGTTACTTTTCGATAAAAGTTTAAGGAGGGATGAACGGAAGAAAATACACCATATTATACAGTTCAAGGTTTTAGCCGATGATCTAGCGTCGGTGGACTTCGATAGCACTGCCCAAGTCGAATTAGTTTTACAAATAAGCAATAATAACTGTTATTTACTACACACGAAAAGTTCTGGTTCTTATCCTAACCGGTGAGTTTTTTTACTTGTAAGTTAAAGTTGATAAGGTTCGTTTTTAATTGTATCCCCGGTCGTAACTTACTGCATTTGTTATTCGTGACATGAATTATATTTTCGACCAATTCGTTACTGTCCTGAATGACCTTGGTTTTTAAAAGAAACGATTTTTTATTGAAATCAGTATTGACAATAATCACTTTTCTAAAAGACGGTCTTTTCCTTATTTTCCAGCCAACTATCCCTCTTTAAAAAAGCGCCTGATCATGTTTTCCTAATTGTACCACAAGACCTTAAAAAGACCAAAGAAGGAAATACTGAAGACAAACCGCTTGAAGTAGACTGTAAAGAAGATATAGTACCCGAAACTCCAGAAGACCAAAAAGACCAAAATCGTCAAATGGATCAAGAATCAGAAGAATTGGAACCGGAAGAAACAAATCCATTCTTAATAAGCATTACGAGGAATTTGAAGAAAAATACAGATTCTGAAATGAAAGAAGAAGTGGAAATAGCAGAAATACCGGAGAATCCGGTAGTCTCAGAAGCGGAGAAGATTCCAGAAGAGCCGGTTAATTCGGAAATGTCCGACGAAGTTATGAAATTAATATTCGAATATTATAAGAAATTTAAGGGGAACAGAAGGTATTCGCAGTTTAAGTTTTTGGGTCCGTTCGACGAGGAAGAAATAGTTTGCATCAATGAGTTCATCCAGCAAGCGACGAGGTATTTGAATAAAGAGCCGTGTCCATACGCCAGCGTGTTTGATGACGTGGAGTTTGAGATAAACGAAGATTGTACCGGAAACACAGTGTGAGTACCTTTTTATATCTTATGCAGTCTCTTTTCTTCTTCTTATGATGTAGGATGGCGAACGAGCAGACGGATTACCTGTTGGTAAGTAATCTGCGCCGCCCATGACACCTGCAACACCATAAGAGTTACGAGTGCGTTACCGACCTTTTGGAGATTTGGGATTTAGAGATTTTGAGATTGGGGGAGGGAAAGGATTGGGCCTCCAGTAACCTCACTCACACGGCGAAATACAACGATGTGGATTTTTCACGCCGATTTTTCTGTGAGTAATCCGTCTGCTCGTTTGCCGACCTCATACATAAAAAAAAAGAAAAAAAGACATTTGATGATTTTCACCCCTCGAAAAAATTGTGTATTTGTCAAATCACCGTAGCTGCCACCAATAGTAGACACTATGGTCTTAAAAAAATCAAGGAGATGATTGGCGCCGTCCAGGTGCGTTGCCGGCCTTTTAAGAAGGAGTACGCTCGTTTCTTGAAGGTTTGAAGGTCGTATCGGTTCGGGAATACCGCCGCCGCAAGATATTTCGAAAGTTTTGCCGTGCGGGGTGGAAAGTGTTGCGTGTTCCATTTCCATGTAAAACAATTGGGTAGTTTCCTAGGTCAAAAATAAATCACTTCAACGTTTCACTACAATAAAATATTGAAAAATAACTATACCTACTTTTATTCATCGATCGATCAATACACTAAGTTTTAGATACTTTTTAGCTAATTATTAAGAAATAAGTACCTAAGCTATTTGACGCCAAAATATTATGACGTCGTAACTCTGTTTTTCATACTTTAATAGAAAAGTATCCGCCTTGAGCAAGCGTAGTGATTAACGCTCAAACCTGCTCCGTGTGAGAAGAGGCCTTTGCTCAGCAGTGATGACATAAAAATCGAAATCCCCTTACAAATATTTATCCGTATTTCTTTGCTCAACAGTCGTTAGTTGCGACAATTTTGTAAGATTTTTTTGTTTGCTCCTTCCTTTCATTGTGTGTGTACTGAATTTGTGTATTTTATTTTACAGAATATTCAAGAGGCCCGTATAAAGAATATCGTGTAAGAATTACTTTTTGTAAGTATTTATTTAATTTATTGGATATTTAATAAATAACTTAGCGCTGATTTTTCAATTGTTAGATAAAAGTTATCTGAGGAATAATTATGATGCTGTCGCGTCAGAATGTTTGTATAAGACAGTGACAGCAACAATTTTATTCCTCAGATAACATTTTTGATCTGGTTATTGAAAAATCTATGTTTATCTTAATTATATTGTACAGTTTAGTTATTAAACTTTTTGACGAGGTCACTCGATTCGTTTCGAGCCGCGCCAAGGCCCGTAATCACAGACACAATAATTGACCCTGCAAGAGTCCCGCCTTAGTTTCGTATCATAAGCTCGTGATCATAAGCTCGATAATTGACCTGGCAAGCGTCCCGCCGCCGACTGAAACTAGACGAGTTACTTTGTCAAACAGTTGCGTGATTATGTGTGACACACATATTTTTTTTTTTTTGTTAAATTTAGTATATTCTATTTTCTCTTTATGACAATTAAGCTTTAGTTAGTTTAGTTATGTAATTATTGTAATATTAAAATTAAGTTGTATTTATTTATTAAATCTTACCGAGTATAAAGACTTGCGATCCCTTTTTCATCTGTCTGCAATAAAAATGGCTGACTTTTTTTAGTCTTGATGTGATCGGGCGAAATTTCATAAATCTGTTGCAAGGTTTTTTTTCAATATTTTTCGCTAAGACTAGCGTTGTTTATATTATGCTAGCTTTCACACGCGGCTTCTCCCGTGTGGTATGTTGATAACAAGTAGCCCATGTCCTATTCCGGAGTGTATCCAATGCCTGTGCCAAATTTCATTCAGATCCGTTCAGCCGTTTTGGCGTGATTGAGTAACAAACATCCGAACATCGTAACTTTTATAATAATATTATTATTAGTAAGATTGTACACGTTAAAAAATAAATTCAGTTCTTGACAACTCTAACTTCGTAGTCAATTTGAATACTTTTTTGAGTCTTCCAAAGCGACTATTTTGGACATATTTTGTACTACTTTGCTTATGACGTCATATTTTTTTACCTCGAATTATAAAATACACTTAATTTCTGATATAGTACGAAAATTATGTAAATGCTTGACTGCAAATTTTAAACTGAAAGTTTGTTTTGTAATATTCCAATGACACGTGCGGTTGAGTCAGCCGGGGTTGCGGGGTAAGCGCAATGAGGCACCGCGACCTCCGCACAGACCAGGAGAAGGAACAGGGGGGTTTTTAGTCAGTAAGAGTCTGACACTCCCTCCTGCCCGGCCCTGGGCGGGAGAAGTCATGTGATAATTTTCCCATCACAAAAAAAAGTGCGGTTGAGTAAAATTTTGACTCCGAAATGCTTCACCTTCAACCAACGTATAGGTACGGAAGCATGTCCACAATTATCAAATACATTATAGCTTTATCTATGCTTTTAGAAATTTCATCATCATCCGGCCATTGAGACAATTTAGGTCTAAAATTTAACCTGGAATTATGCTTTGAACAATGTTTCGATCATCACAACTAAAGGTCGATGCATACGCTTGTGGAATTTTGTTCTTATTTCGTTTATTTGGCTTCTTATTCCATTTCGTTCGAATATGTTTTTTGTTACAATATTTTTTTTAACGAACAGAACGGATTACCTGATGGTAAGCAATCGGTGCCGCCCATGGACACCCGCAACACCAAAGGAGTTACGAGTGCGTTGCCGGCCTTTTAGGGATAGGGATTGCGGATATAAGGATTCAAATTCTAATTCTTTATTTGCATGTTAAGGTGGGTACAGAGCGATTGGGAAGGGATAGGGGAAGGGGAGAGATTGGGCCTCCGGTAACCTCACTCACACGGTGAAACACAATGCTGTAGGTTGCTGTTTCACGCTGGTAGAAAATATAAAACAATTACATTTTCCTGAGCAATTTTCTGACATTGCTCACTCCAGTGCGCTCCCCCTGTTTGGATAATACCTCCTTGCTTAGTAATAACTATAAATAATATTCTATCTATACATTACACATTATAATAGTATGACCGCCTATTTATTAACAACGCAATGTCTTTACACTCCCACACCCGGTTTCTGAAAGGCTTGTCAACGCTAAAATTAACTAATCTCCTGTTAAATCTCCTGCCAAGTCATCTGATTGGTTGTTGATAATTCAGTCAACCAATCAGATGACTTGACAAGAGATTAAATTGATTTTAACATTGTTCGGCCTTTCGGAAACCGGGCATCAATGTAAATTTCATCATCATCCGGCCATTGAGACAATTTAGGTCTAAAATTTAACCTGGAATTATGCTTTGAACAATGTTTCGATCATCACAACTAAAGGTCGATGCATACGCTTGTGGAATTTTGTTCTTATTTCGTTTATTTGGCTTCTTATTCCATTTCGTTCGAATATGTTTTTTGTTACAATATTTTTTTTAACGAACAGAACGGATTACCTGATGGTAAGCAATCGGTGCCGCCCATGGACACCCGCAACACCAAAGGAGTTACGAGTGCGTTGCCGGCCTTTTAGGGATAGGGATTGCGGATATAAGGATTCAAATTCTAATTCTTTATTTGCATGTTAAGGTGGGTACAGAGCGATTGGGAAGGGATAGGGGAAGGGGAGAGATTGGGCCTCCGGTAACCTCACTCACACGGTGAAACACAATGCTGTAGGTTGCTGTTTCACGCTGGTAGAAAATATAAAACAATTACATTTTCCTGAGCAATTTTCTGACATTGCTCACTCCAGTGCGCTCCCCCTGTTTGGATAATACCTCCTTGCTTAGTAATAACTATAAATAATATTCTATCTATACATTACACATTATAATAGTATGACCGCCTATTTATTAACAACGCAATGTCTTTACACTCCCACACCCGGTTTCTGAAAGGCTTGTCAACGCTAAAATTAACTAATCTCCTGTTAAATCTCCTGCCAAGTCATCTGATTGGTTGTTGATAATTCAGTCAACCAATCAGATGACTTGACAAGAGATTAAATTGATTTTAACATTGTTCGGCCTTTCGGAAACCGGGCATCAATGTAAATTAAAATTTTATTATTATTTATTATGTTTGTTCTTTCCTATCACGGGACCACAGGGTCCCGGACCTTTGGAAGGCATACGAGGAGCCGAAGCCAACTCGCAGAGGCCCGTTGAACAATTTTAATCTAAATGTGATGGGACATCAGCCGGTAATTATCCCTGTATGCACTATAAAAGTGCACCCAAGGACAATCCCCGGTTGATGCAGGACTATTGTAAAATGTGGTAACAATTGATAGGGTTATGGGTATGGGTTGCTATGGACTAGTGGATGAAAACTATGGAAATACTATGGCCCCTGCCCCTGACCAATATTGATACATACGGATAAACAGGCAGGGGGTGACTGGCAAACTCAATTAATGGGCCCCCGGAAACGGCCGCTAGCATGTAGCGACACGGGGGCAACATACGTTGAGCTGCTTGGGGAAGGAGAGGCATCCCACGGCTATCAGAGCAATCCCGGAAGTACGGTCAAGACCCCTACCAGCATCTTACTGAGATACATCCTTCCCCCGAGTCTCCTTCAACTCCTACTCTTGTTATTATTATTATTATTATATACTTAAACACACTAGCAGCTTAGAAAGCTGATGCGTGCGTATTAATGGATTTGGAGATTTTGTCGAGTCTGTTTTTAAAAGAATTAACTGTGGGTGCTTTTATCACATTTTCTGGGAGTTTATTCCATTCCGTGACCACCCTATTAGGTAGGATTTACACCTAATTTAGTCTTATATTATAAATCTTAAGATTGTGTTTTTATGTGAAAAGTGATTTTGGGTATAAAAACTGTCCTATGTCCTTTCTCGAGTTCCAAACTATGTCTGCACCAAATTCCACGGAAATCGGTTCAGTAGTAGTTTAGGCGTGAAGAAAAGACAGACAGTCTAAGTTTAAGTGTGGGAGAGCCATGCTTCGGCACGAATGGGTCGGCTCGACCGGAGTGATACCACGGCCTCACAGAAGACCGACGTGAAACAACCACAGCGTTGTGTTTCGCCATGTGAGTGAGGCTACCGGAGGCCCAATCCTTCCCCGCCCCCAATCCCTTCTCAATCCCTAAATCTCCAAATCCCTAATCCCTAAAAGGTCGGCAACGCACTCGTAACTCCTCCGTTGCGGGTGTCCATGGGCGGCGCTGATTGCTTACCATCAGGTAATCCGTCTGCTCGTTTGCCGACCAATTACATAAAAAAAAGTCAGACAGAGTTAGTTTCGCATTTATTATATTAGTTTGGATCTACAACCAATAAGAGCCGAGCAATGGAATAGGCGTCGCTAGTTGGTCAAATAAATATTTTTTGTTTTCGTTAGCCTATTTCGTTAGACTATAAAACATCACGCTACGATTTGTAGGAGCAGCGGGTAAAACCGCGCGAAAGTGGCTAGTAATATATGATGGAGGGACGAGCAGGATCGTCGGAGGGTTAGTTTCATCTTCGTCCGCCATCTGGGTATTGTGGGTGATGTTTCTTCGGAATAAACTCGCAGATTGAACACAAACGACCTCTTTAATCGGTTTACTTAGTGAAATACGGTAACTCTAATGCTATGTAGACTGATTGCAATACGAAGCGTGGAGAGTTCTGTGCTAGCGTCCATTCAGTCTGGCGGCTCACGTTAGAAAAAAAACAATTTTTAAACCAAGCACAAACCGTTCCCAGGCGATGACAGCTTCATGTGACCTGACGTTTCCCACGATCGATGCGCCGCCCCGCCGACCTATATATATCTTTAGGTATATATAAAAATTGCGTGTGACACGCAATTTTTATATATACCTTTGTGTGTTTGTCCGCGATGGATTCCTAAACTACTAAACCGATTTTAATTAAATTAGATTTGCATTCCGTGTGCATTTTGATCTAACTTGAAAGATAGGATAGCTTACATCTCAATTTATAGTCACATTAATTATGTTATTGCAAATTATTTGTCCATATGA